ACAGTTTGGTTCGTTCTCTGTTCACAATCGTGCATCCTGGGTCCGAATCCCAGGCGGGACGGAAATGGTTGGGCCGTCTCAAATCAGCTAATGCCTCTGTTCACCTAATATTAAGTCGGTATCCGGATTTAGTCGACTGTTGTGAAGTTGCATCCTGGGAAGGGTCAGTAGTTCTACTTGGGGTGGGGGGAAAGACCTCGATATAAATCTAACATCTAAATCTAATACACATGCTGTCTCTCTTCGACAAAGTGAATGAAATGAAATTTCAAATTGTAATTTTGAAATTTTGAAATGTTCAAATTTTGAAATGTTCAAATTTTGAAATGTTCAAATTTTGACATTTTTAAATGTTCAAATTTTGAAATTTTGAAATGTTCAAATTTTGAAATTTTGTTCGAAACGCTATGCGTACTAGTGGCTTTAGGTATTGTATGTACTAGCTCTATCTATAACTCCAACAACATGTTTATAAAACAACTATGTATGTACCTTTCTGAATAAAATTTACTTTACTTAAATAATCTCGGAACGTTTAAAATAGTTGGGCGTGTCCGCAGTGGACCGTTTTCTCTCACAGTCCTCCTCCGTCCATGACGTCACGGCGCCTATCACTTGGAAACTGTCTGAAAATATACAATAAAGACATGTAAATAAGAAACCACAATTCGATTTTTTGCACTAACACATTTAGGTGCATCTCCTTATATGCCGCTGCTCCCCCATACACTGTCGGGGAGTGCCGTGCGTGTCAGGAACTAGCTACGTGACACTGAAAGTCCCCATCATACAGTAAGGTTATAGTCACATACAGAAGCATGATATCTGCACTGGTAAAATCTGGATGCATTATGAGGATATCCTCAAGAACACGAGTCTGGCAAAGAAGGGTATGGGGACATGTTGGGTAATCCGTTGGGGAACTGTAAAAGGGAGGGGGGGGCCTGTTGCTGAGTGGACAGCGCTCAGGACTCGTAATCCTTGGGGACCGGGGTTCGATCCCCGGTAATGGCGGAAACAAGTGAGCATAGTTTCTTTCACCCTGATGCCCCTGTTACCTAGTAGTAAATAGGTACCTGGGAGTTAAATGAAAAACTGTGACTTTTTCACTGTGTGAGTGAAAAAAAGTTGATTGATTGATAGTTGAGAGGTGGGCCGAAAGAGCAGAGCTCAACCCCTGCAAGCATAACTAAGATTGAATACTCAATCTTCCAATATATTCTCCCCTTCTGATATCCAGCCGTAAATGTCTGCGGCTTATGTGTCGTCCTCTCCAGCAGCGTTCAGCTCCCTAGTGTCAGCGCCAGCATGCCGGGCCTTCCACTCATACCGGATAAGGTTCCTCAAGAAGCTACCTGCCAGTCAGCGTTGATAAATAATATGCAATGTGAATTATATGTATGATGGACGCAGGGCAAATGGGAGTCGATGGTGGTCGGTCTTCGTTGATACTTGAGCAATCCTTCCCTCCTCCCTCTTCCTTCCCACCTCCCCCCTCCCTCTTTCTCTCCTTAGAGCTAAGACCCAAGAAGCGGGAGTAAGTTTTAAAAACCCCAGGAACAGTAAGCTCAAAACAGAGCGTCTGTCCGCATTCCCGTCTCAAGGGCGACTAGATTATCACGGGACAGAAAATAGCGTGGGAAGCCGTCCAAGGCGGATATTGTGGTGGCGATGTTATCGTTGCTGAATTATCCTAAGTGTGTCTATTTAAGTGTGTTGTTTGGATGAGTGTGTGGGAGCGCTGAGGGGTTTTTCTGTGTAGCTGGACGGGGAGGGGAGGGGGGTTAGGGGGAGGAAGAGAAGGTATAACGAGCTGAGAGGGAAAACCATTGCCTTATAGGTGTTAAACACTCCGCTACATGTGGGTAAACTCTTCCCAACAGGTGTGTAAATCATGAGATCTTACACCACCTAAACAGGTGTGTAAAAGCTTCACTACTGGTGGTCACTACTCTGCCTGCCCCCACACAGCCCCGCTCCTTAGTGGCTGAGCCCGTAGTGGCCAGGTAAATCCATGCAGGGCTCACCATAGCCCGTGATACTTGGAACGTTTTGTTCCGAGTAGCTGAATCTAAAACAACAACAACTGCCTGCCTCCAGGCTGCGCAGTTGGGTCCCCTCATTGGATCATTGAGTCCCTTTTCTGGGTTGTCTTCGATGGTCTCATTCAAGGTCCCGAGTCAACTTATTCAAGTTTCCGTTCGAGTCTCTCAGCCTATACCATCTGGTCTTCGAAGGTTTTAGCTCTCAATCGTTCATATGTGATCCAGCGTCCTTAACATTAATGCCTTATACTGGCATGTCTGAACCTACTGTGTGCTTTCTGGGGGCTCTGCCCTTGATGGTGCAGGACCCTTTAGACTGATTGTTAATTGTGATTTACCCCTAAGACTGATTGTTCATAATTTATGAACCTTTCTGTTTATGCCCAAAGCCTCAAAATACAATTCTCTGTGATTTTAAGCTCATATTTCCTTTCCATATAGTGATGAAGGTCAGCCATAATCTGCTCAGCGCCATAACTTTGATAACGCCCCTGAACATCCCAACAAAACAGCATTGGCCTTACCGACTGCTTCAGTAAGGAAAGTATATAATGAGATATCTTCTGACATAACCCAGTGACATAAACACGATTTTGCTGTTACTGAAATGACCATAACATAGCTGCAAAGAGTAAAATGGAATGCCTTGGAAAGCTTTGACCTTGATTTTGGAGCGACTCGGCTTCCTGGAGCAGGTGGAGAGTATACATTAACTACCGTAAACTATCAGCGCACGAAAAAAAAACTGGTAACCTTAGTAAACTAACTGATAGTGTCTGAAGGTAAACCGGTGTAATGCGTGTCTTCCTCCTGCTGTTAAATGTAAGGTGGAAGTCAGGAATACTCGCTTTGGTCAGTGTCATATGTCCGTGTTCCATGGCTGATAATGTGGTGTTGCGTGGTTGTGGTGCGGTTATGGCGGGTGTTGAGCGGTTGTGACGGGTGTTGAGCGGTTGTGGCTGGTGTTGAGCGGTTGTGGCGGGTGTTGAGCGGTTGTGGCGGGTGTTGTGCGGTTGTGGCGGGTGTTGAGCGGTTGTGGCGGGTGTTGAGCGGTTGTGGCTGGTGTTGAGCGGTTGTGGCGGGTGTTGAGCGGTTGTGGCGGGTGTTGTGCGGTTGTGACGGGTGTTGAGCGGTTGTGGCTGGTGTTGAGCGGTTGTGGCGGGTGTTGAGCGGTTGTGGCGGGTGTTGAGCGGTTGTGGCGGGTGTTGTGCGGTTGTGGCGGGTGTTGTGCGGTTGTGGCGGGTGTTGTGTGGCGGGTGTTGTGCGGTTGTGGCGGGTGTTGAGCGGTTGTGGCGGGTGTTGAGCGGTTGTGGCGGGTGTTGTGCGGTTGTGGCGGGTGTTGTGCGGTTGTGGCGGGTGTTGTGCGGTTGTGGCGGGTGTTGTGCGGTTGTGGCGGGTGTTGTGCGGTCGTGGTGGGTGTTGAGTGGTCGTGGCTGGTGTTGTGCGGTTGTGGCGGGTGTTGAGCGGTTGTGGCGGTCGTGGCGGGTGTTGAGCGGTTGTGGCGGGTGTTGAGCGGTCATGCCGGCTGGTGTTGAGCGGTCGTGGCGGGTGTTGAGCGGTTGTGGCGGGTGTTGAGCGGTTGTGGCGGGTGTTGAGCGGTTGTGGCGGGTGTTGAGCGGTCGTGGCGGGTGTTGAGCGGTTGTGGCGGGTGTTGAGCGGTCGTGGCGGGTGTTGTGCGGTTGTGGCGGGTGTTGAGCGGTCATGCCGGCTGGTGTTGAGCGGTCGTGGCGGGTGTTGAGCGGTTGTGGCGGGTGTTGAGCGGTTGTGGCGGGTGTTGAGCGGTTGTGGCGGGTGTTGAGCGGTTGTGGCGGGTGTTGAGCGGTTGTGGCTGGTGTTGAGCGGTTGTGGCGGGTGTTGAGCGGTTGTGGCGGGTGTTGAGCGGTTGTGGCGGGTGTTGAGCGGTTGTGGCTGGTGTTGAGCGGTTGTGGCGGGTGTTGAGCGGTTGTGGCGGGTGTTGTGCGGTTGTGGCGGGTGTTGAGCGGTTGTGGCGGGTGTTGTGCGGTTGTGGCGGGTGTTGTGCGGTTGTGGCGGGTGTTGAGCGGTTGTGGCGGGTGTTGTGCGGTTGTGGCGGGTGTTGTGCGGTTGTGGCGGGTGTTGTGCGGTTGTGGCGGGTGTTGTGCGGTTGTGGCGGGTGTTGAGCGGTTGTGGCGGGTGTTGTGCGGTTGTGGCGGGTGTTGTGCGGTTGTGGCGGGTGTTGTGCGGTTGTGGCGGGTGTTGTGCGGTTGTGGCGGGTGTTGTGCGGTTGTGGCGGGTGTTGTGCGGTTGTGGCGGGTGTTGTGCGGTCGTGGCGGGTGTCGTGGCTGGTGTTGTGCGGTTGTGGCGGGTGTTGAGCGGTCATGCCGGCTGGTGTTGAGCGGTCGTGGCGGGTGTTGAGCGGTTGTGGCGGGTGTTGAGCGGTCATGCCGGCTGGTGTTGAGCGGTCGTGGCGGGTGTTGTGCGGTTGTGGCGGGTGTTGAGCGGTCATGCCGGCTGGTGTTGAGCGGTCGTGGCGGGTGTTGAGCGGTTGTGGCGGGTGTTGAGCGGTTGTGGCGGGTGTTGAGCGGTCGTGGCGGGTGTTGAGCGGTCGTGGCGGGTGTTGAGCGGTCGTGGCGGGTGTTGAGCGGTCGTGGCGGGTGTTGTGCGGTTGTGGCGGGTGTTGAGCGGTCATGCCGGCTGGTGTTGAGCGGTCGTGGCGGGTGTTGAGCGGTTGTGGCGGGTGTTGAGCGGTTGTGGCGGGTGTTGAGCGGTCGTGGCTGGTGTTGAGCGGTTGTGGCGGGTGTTGAGCGGTTGTTTTGGGTGTTGAGCGGTCGAGGCGGGTGTTGAGCGGTGGCGAAGGGAATCTTAAGCAAGGCTGGTTAAAATTTTATGGTAACTGCGAGACAGGATCAATAGTCCCAAGAATACATTGTGATCAATACACTATCTTAAACGTTACCTCCTGCCAGTAAGCTTTACTGTACGATCTCTGCTTCCCAGTCCTGTCCAGGGACGGCCTCTACTCTCCTATACTGTCCAGGGACGGCCTCTACTCTCCTGTACTGTCCAGGGACGACCTCTACTCTCCTGTACTGTCCAGGGACGGCCTCTACTCTCCTATACTGTCCAGGGACGACCTCTACTCTCCTGTACTGTCCAGGGACGACCTCTACTCACCAGTACTGTCCAGGGACGACCTCTACTCTCCTGTACTGTCCAGGGACGACCTCTACTCTCCTATACTGTCCAGGGACGACCTCTACTCTCCTGTACTGTCCAGGGACGACCTCTACTCTCCTGTACTGTCCAGGGACGACCTCTACTCTCCTGTACTGTCCAGGGACGACCTCTACTCTCCTGTACTGTCCAGGGACGACCTCTACTCTCCTGTACTGTTCAGGGACGACCTCTACTCTCCTGTACTGTCCAGGGACGACCTCTACTCTCCTGTACTGTCTAGGGACGACCTCTGATCACCAGTACTGTCCAGCGACGACCTGTCCTCACCAGTACTGTCCAGCGACGACCTCTACTCTCCGGTACTGTCCAGGGACGACCTCTACTCTCCTATACTGTCCAGGGACGACCTCTACTCTCCTGTACTGTCTAGGGACGACCTCTACTCTCCTGTACTGTCTAGGGACGACCTCTGATCACCAGTACTGTCCAGCGACGACCTGTCCTCACCAGTACTGTCCAGCGACGACCTCTGCTCACCAGTATTGTCCAGCGACGACCTCTGCTCACCAATATTGACTCGGGGACGACCTCTGCTCACCAGTATTGACTCGGGGACGACCCCTGCTCACCAATATTGACTCAGGGACGTCCTCTGCTCACCAATATTGACTCAGGAACGACCTCTGCTCACCACGATGTAGGCTCAGGAATATGTACACCAGTCAACTGATGTACATATTCCTGAGTCTACTGGGCTCTATCATATATACATTTGAAGCTGTGTATGGAGTCAGCCTCCACCACATCACTGCCTAATGCATTCCACCTGTTAACTACTCACTGTTATTACTCTACTCACTGACTACAACTACTAATAATGTAACTACTAATGAGTGTAACTACTCACTGACACTGAAAAAAAGTTTTTTCTAACGTCTCTGTGACTCATTTGGGGTACTCACTTTCCACCTGTGTCCCCTTGTTCGCGTTCCACCCGAGTTACATAGTTTATCCTTATCTACCCGGTCAATTCCTCTGAAAATTTTACAGGTTGTGATCATGTCTCCCCTTTAACTTTTATATATGTGTATGTGTGTGTGTGTCACGGCGCACGCGAGACTGGCCTGCTCGCTGTACAAGCAGTACGTTCGATAACCGATGGCACCATCGCCGGCTCCAAACCTGACGCGGGCTTTAACTTATTCATAATGTTGCCGAGATGATACTTCGCGGTTATGAGAGCTCCCAGTCAGCTTACTCTAGAACCATCGCGGTTATGAGAGCTCCCGATCAGCTTACACTAGGAAATATCACGGAGATATCATGAAGATAGTTCGTAAGGTCCCCCCCAACGATCATCTTGGAGACTTTCCAGCTTGACTCGTCACCAGGGAGACGGCGAATATGTTGCCGGGGACACCTCACTGGCAAGACGTTGCCGGGGACACCTCACTGGCAACACGTTGCCACGCTCCCTGATAACCTCTCACCTCTAACTCCCAGCAACAAAACTCACGAGAAAAAAAAATGGTATTTTTTCATGAAATTCTTCATGAAGTTCACATTGGCTTTCATGAAGGTTATATTGACCTTCATCGAGGTTATCTTGACATTCATGGAGGTTATATTGACCTTCATGAAGGTTATCTTGACCTTCATGGAGGTTATATTGACCTTCATGAAGGTTATCTTGACCTTCATGGAGGTTATATTGACCTTCAATGAAGGTTATATTGACCTTTCATGAAGGTAATATTGACCTTCATGGAGGTTATATTGACCTTCATGGAGGTTATATTGACCTTCAATGAAGGTTATATTGACCTTTCATGAAGGTATTATTGACCTTCATGAAGGTTATATTGATCTTCATGTAGGTTATATTGACCTTCATGAAGGTTATATTGATCTTCATGTAGGTTATATTGACCTTCATGAAGGTTATATTGATATTCATGAAGGTTATATTGACCTTCATGGAGGTTATATTGATCTTCATGTAGGTTATATTGATCTTCATGTAGGTTATATTGACCTTCATGAAGGTTATATTGATCTTCATGTAGGTTATATTGACCTTCATGAAGGTTATATTGATCTTCATGTAGGTTATATTGACCTTCATGAAGGTTATATTGATATGAAGGTTATATTGACATTCATGAAAGTTATATTGATCTTCATTGAGGTTATATTGACCTTCAATGAAAGTTATATTACCTTCATGAAGGTTATATTGACCTTCATGATGTAGATATATAGTAGAATATAGTCAATACAAGCTGTCAGTTCACCTAAAAAGTAGTTTTTTTAACGTAATTGACCAATCCGGTGGAAAAAAACATATTTGGAAAAACAAAATTAGGCATTACAATATTAAGGTTTTCTGTGTATCGAGCTCGAGAGGTTAGGCAGGTTGCTTGGGTTCGTACCTTTTTGGCTTGGCAAAACAGTTGCATTTGTTACGGAGTGGCGAATATAGAGACCGGGCTGTGTGGGGTGGAAGGGGGGGGGTGTAATTACCTAAGTGTAGTTACAGGATGAGAGCTACGCTCGTGGTGTCCCGTCTTCCCAACACTCTTTGTCATATAAAGCTTTGAAACTACTGACGGTGCTTGCCTAAATGTGCTAGTGAGGTCACGCGTAACCGCCTGAGATTAAGGGAAGGAGACAGGAGAAAGAGGAGAGTGTAGTGGAAGGGGAGGGGTGGAGAGAAGGGAAGGGGGCAGTGGTATATTGTCATGATGAATGCAGGGGTAAAGGGAGGGGGAAGAGAATAAGGGAGGATAAGGAGAGAGAGAGAAAAAAAGAGAGAGAGGAGATGAAAACAGGGCAAGGGTATGGACAGAAAACAGGGTGAAGGGGAGGTAAGAGAGAAGAGGGAAAGGGAGTTGAAGAGAGCAGGAGGAAAGGAAATGGAAGAGAGAAGGATTAAATGGAGTGGTAAGAGAGCAACGGAAAGGGTTTCCCAGGAGAGGGCATGGTAAATCTGTATACAAATAGCTTCCAGAGACACTTCAAGGCGGTCAGTAATGAGGGGGTGGGAGGGGGGAGCGAATGTTGTCTCTCCGCCCACACACAACATTCCAGCAGTGTCGTAGTGTTCAACGTTACTAACTCGTCTCAACGTAACGTTACTAAAACCTTCTAGTTATGTTAGGGGTGTGCTGGGATGGCGGTGTGTTGGGATGGTGGTGTGTTGGGATGGTGGTGTGCTGGGATGGTGGTGTGTTGGGATGGTGGTGTGTTGGGATGGTGGTGTGTTGGGATGGTGGTGTGCTGGGATGGTGGTGTGTTGGGATGGTGGTGTGTTGGGATGGTGGTGTGCTGGGATGGTGGTGTGCTGGGATGGTGGTGTGCTGGGATGGTGGTGTGCTGGGATGGTGGTGTGCTGGGATGGTGGTGTGTTGGGATGGTGGTGTGCTGGGATGGTGGTGTGCTGGGATGGTGGTGTGCTGGGATGGTGGTGTGCTGGGATGGTGGTGTGTTGGGATGGTGGTGTGTTGGGATGGTGGTGTGCTGGGATGGTGGTGTGCTGGGATGGTGGTGTGCTGGGATGGTGGTGTGCTGGGATGGTGGTGTGCTGGGATGGTGGTGTGTTGGGATGGTGGTGTGCTGGGATGGTGGTGTGCTGGGATGGTGGTGTGTTGGGATGGTGGTGTGCTGGGATGGTGGTGTGCTGGGATGGTGGTGTGCTGGGATGGCGGTGTGCTGGGATGGTGGTGTGTTGGGATGGTGGTGTGCTGGGATGGTGGTATGCTGGGATGGTGGTGTGCTGGGATGGTGGTGTGCTGGGATGTGGTATGCTGGGATGGTGGTGTGTTGGGATGGGGTATGCTTGGATGGTGGTGTGTTGGGATGGTGGTGTGTTGGGATGGTGGTGTGCTGGGATGGTGGTGTGCTGGGATGGCGGTGTGCTGGGATGGTGGAGTGCTGGGATGACAGTGTGCTGGAAGAGCGATCTGCTGCCAGACCTACACTACGGGAGAGTAATGGCAAAAACGCGTCTTGGATACAAATATCCATTGAGATTTGGTATGGAAACGACAGCTGAGCAGCGGAGTTGCAGAATTTGTTATGGGAGTGACGGACACCACTTTGACCACTACCTTAGAGAATCTGAACGTCTAAGAGACATTAAAAATGTGTGTAGCATAATAGACCCCACATTGTTTGAATTAAGAAAATACTATCTGTCAAATATAAATGTTGTTCTCATAAGATTCCCCTCTTTTACACCCGCAAAATAACGTAAGTTTTTAAGGATTGACAAATGTTAATCTTGTATGATAAGCTGTTCACTTGAGACAGTTAAGCAAGTCCCAGCTGTGTCTGGGTACAAGTGACAGGATGAACAACCCAGCGGGTTTTCTTCTTCTTGGGGGAGTGTTGTACATGCTGCTATGGGGGTATGTCCACTCACAGGATGAGTGGCGCTGCTCAGTAAACTCGCCCCTCGGAGCAAAACTAAACTTCGGCCACAGAGCTGTTCTTCCTGGTAGGGCTCAATACCACACACCATCAACACACACCTGACCTCAAAGCCTTGACCCCCCCCCCCCTCCATCCAAACTGGGGGATATCACGCTCCCAATTGACATGGATTTTGTTGGTAAAACCTTCAGTTGAATTTTGCTTCCTTTACCACCTATTTGTTCGCAGTAAATATATATATATATATGATTTTAGTAAAGAGCATTGGGGTCCAGTACTTGAAGCCGTGATGTGATGCTGATGCCTTTCTGCCACTCTCCCCCACGATGGGTACGGGGTCCACTACCAACAGAATTGGTATAGGGTTCACTACCGCCCACAGGATGAGTATGGGTCCATTACCACCCACAGGATGGGTACGGGGTTCACTATCTCCCACAGAATGGGTGTGGAGTCCACTACCACTTACAGGATGGGTATGGAGTCCACTACCACCCATAGGATGGGTATGGAGTTCAATACCACCCACAGGATGGGTATGGATTCCACTACCACCCACAGGATGGGTATGGAGTCCACTACCACCCACAGGATGGGTATTGGGTCCGCTACCACCCACAGGATGGGTATGGGATCCACTACCACCCACAGGATGGGTATGGAGTCCACTACCACCCACAGGATGGGTATGGAGTCCACTACCACCCACAGGATGGGTATGGAGTCCACTACCACCCACAGGATGGGTATGGAGTCCACTACCACCCACAGGATGGGTATGGAGTCCACTACCACCCACAGGATGGGTATGGAGTCCACTACCACCCACAGGATGGGTATGGAGTCCACTACCACCCAC